ATCCTTGACTTGCAGCGGGTAAGTTGCTTCATTTTGTACTAAAGTTGTCCTTTAAGGCAAAAAATAAGACAGACATAAAAACTAAAACATCTGACTTAATTATATTGCTGTCAACTGAATTTACAAGAACTTATCTACAACACAGGGCTAAAGAAATGGAAAAAGAAAAAGAAACGGGGCAGTGACACAACTTTAGACGCCCAATGTTAGAAGTGAGCTGTCATGTCAAGGCATTAGCTCCATCACGGAAAATGTGTGAATGATTTCACGTCTGAAACAATAGAAAATAACACAATATACACATATATGCAAAACAATCAAACATTTGGACACTGGTTCATTCTTTATTATTTCTATTTTTGTTCACATTTTAGAACAAGAATAAAGTCATCAAAACTGCATGTGAATGGGGGACGTTCAACACAACTCTTCACAGTGTGTCACATCACTGTCACCATCTACTGGAAGATGTTTGAAACTGAAAATATATGGCATAACCTGCAAGCCATTCAGTTCACTACCAGAGATCTCCATCTCAACAATTCTGATCATCCCCCCTTTCTGGAAGTATGGGTCTCAGCGGGAGATTAGGAAGGTTTTGTCACCACACTGTCTCTTGAGCAGTGGAACAAAACAGAGTGAAGTATTGAAAAAAATCAAAGCTTGTACTCAGACAAATGAAACTACATTTATGTCTTATGTGTACGAAGTTACTGAGCTATGCTTTGATTCAACCTCCCAACTTTTCTCTTTTTGATCAAAATGTACTTCTTACCTTGCCATCGCTTATTCTGTGTTAACACCATCAGACACCAAAACACAAATTCATTTTCACTCACATTATGCCAGACCTATAAGAAGTATAGTAAACACTCATTTTTACCAAGGCTGGAACGCTTTATAATAACTTCCATTAATAAATCATTAACAAAGAATAAATAATGTTTAACTAATCATTACTTAATATATATTCAAATGTCTAGCAATATGAGATAATGTGCTTGTTAATGTTAACTAATGAATTTGTTAAACATTACCAAAATATTAACAGATCATTATTTAATATAATTTGAAATGCTTATGAATGTCATTAAACGTTCAATTCATATGATCATTGATTTAAAAAAAAAAATTCAAATTATTTTGACAGATGGTTTACAATGATTAAAAGCTTCATTAATAAATCATTAACAAACATTATGTAATGATTAACGGGTCATTAGTTAATGCTTATAAATGTCATTAAACTTCAGTTCACATAATAGCTAATGCTCATTTTTACATTTACAAATGTTGTTAAAATATAGCTTAATTATTAATTGTAAGCACTTCACAAACTATTCATGTTAATATAATCATTAACTCATCACAGTCTGTAAAGGTCATATATTTGATCTGTTTGTTGTGTAGACTTCTACTATTTGCACATCTTAAATCATTTATTAATTACTTGTTAATGTTTTTGCAGTACCCACTAAAGTGGAGACTATTCATCATTTGTAAATGTTTATAAACATTTATTAATTGTTTAGTATCTTTATTGGCACTGGACTTTTAGCTACTGTAACAATGTTTGTGTAAAGGGTGGTTAGTTATAGCTCAATGCTTGCTAAAGACATATTGCAATTTGGGTGCAAAACATATATTTATTACCTCAACACTTATATTACTATACTATTGTGTATCATTAAACAGAATATTTGAATCATACATCAAAAGGAGGGAAAAAACTCAAAGAAATGACTTAATTTATCATTTATCAAAACAATGCAATATAAACAGATTGAATCATGTTCCCTTATAGTAATCCAATTGACCCCTGTACACTTGTTGACCCCTTAACTAACCTTTAACCTAACCATACACCAAACCTGAGCCTAATCTTACCTGTATCACACCTCAACAGCAGGAAACGTGTTGTGCATTAACACAAGCTTTTAATCATTGTATAACATCTGTTAAAATAATTTGTAGGTTTTCAAGATGTGTATGATTATATTAATTAGAAGTTTAATGACATTTGTAAGCATTAGCTCCAGCATCTCTGTGTCCTTACATAGGACAAGCGTTTTGGAGAATGGACAGACAAATGTAATTAACTTAAATGGCTGATTTCACCTAAAATCAGTTTAGAATCATGAACAATATTTATCCAGCAGCTGTCAGATACAGGGAGACATGCAAAACGTGCCGTTCTGTGATCCCCAGAAACACTGCGGTGGAAAACAGAGGAATTTTAACAGATAGAGACAAGTACTTTTCCAGAGAGGCAACAGCATAAAGTAGGTTAGTTCTTAGTAGATGAAGCAATGTCTACTCTCATTATTTCTCTCTAGTGGCTTTTTTGCTTCTTTGTTGAAACTCATTCTGACACACTTGAGACTATTTTCATAAGTAAAAATCTGAAATGAGTCTGCCATCAGTTTTTGGTTACTTTCTTTCCATCTACACAGATCAGCCACAACATTAGAACTACAGACAGGTGAAGTGAATAATATTCATAACATAATGGCAAAGCTCAAGGGGTGGCATCACAGTTTGCTTGTGTATAGGGCTGCGTAGCCCAGGGGGTCAGTTTTAGCATTCACTTTGACACCTACCTAAAAACCTTGTAAGTCTTTCATGGCAGCTGTGTTCCTGATGGCAGTGGCCTCTTTCTATAGGATAATGCACCCTGACACACTGCGGAAACTCTTCAGGAATGGTTTGAGGAACATGACAGAGTTCAAGGTGTTGCCTTAACCAACAAATCCAATGCATGGAGGCATGTGTGCATGTGAATGTGTGTGAGCCCTGTGATGGACATGCCACCCATCCAGGGTGTTTCCCCGCCCATGGCCGAGACACTGGGAAATACGCCAGCATTCCCGTCACCCTACAGAGTACAAGTGGTTTAGAGGATGGATGGATGAAATCTGCATTTAATATTATTCAATAATGACAGGCATCCTGTTTCCCCTCTCTTCTTCTTTCATCCTCCTATTCTTCAAAAATTCATATTAGGTGGACAAATCAATAAGTCTCATAAAAAGTACAGGGTCGGAGTCTGTTAAGAATTGGCAGAAAATCTAAGATAGCGTAACCAGATAAGGGTTGTCCCAACTTCTGTTGTCCACTTGAAAGTGAACGGACAGGCATGTGAAGTCTTGCTAGACAGTACCTCGCAAGTTACAGTCTTTTTTGAAGCCTGGTACAAATGGCATCTGTCTGACACTCCCATCCACCCCATCGGGCTTAAGTCCAGTTATCCCTTATTTGGCTTATGCTACCAAACCCTGGTTATTCAGGGCACCAATATAAGCTTTTTCAAGAGCTTGGCCCGGCTGTGTAAAGAAAGTGCTGGGGTGGACATTGTGCAGACTTTGGACATAAATGTTGGTCATGAGACAAAGCTAGGGTCTGCATTGAGGTCCTGGCTCCTTGTCTTTGTCTCCTGGATGGTATGGCTTGGCGGTCATCCTGAAACACTC